TTTAGAAATTCAATGTAAGTATATCTGAATCGTTCCGAACTAATTACGAAACGGTTTTTGTGAGACTTTCAAAATCAGCATTGTAAATAAATTCCTGGAGAAATACAGGACTGGTCTATAATATTATCGAAATTTTGTCGTAGAAATTATATTTCTTCTAAAATAGTATTTACAAGCGTCTAATCAAGGAGAACTCTAGTTTAAATTTCATAATAATTCCCGAACTTCATCGAAAGAAAAGATGTGCCGACCCCGTTTCTCACAAGCGCTGAATAAAAGTAAAGTCTAGTATATAAGAGACTTCCCAGGTCCCTACAACCAGCGTGCGATTCAATGCGTCGTGTATTTGCGTTTATTTGTGTATAAATTATGTGTGCGTTAGAATATATGTAGGTAGCTATATAAGTGTATTATGTATGTATGTGTGTGTGTATCCTCCTCAACCAATCACAGTTCGCCTTGCTTGACGAATGTCGATCAAGTATAAACGCGTATACACAACTTCTTTTTTTTATTTTCTTTGCTACGAAATTGTTCCGGAACTATTCTGTAGCCCTTATAAGAGCTTTTTCATATATGAAGCGACCCTCTGAATTTTTCCCGAACTCATCGGAAGTTCTACCGTCCAGACTATCTGAAATACTCAGCCGCTACATTTCGTAAAAACTATCACATAAATACCGAGTTCTTACCATATAATTCCTGAATATCTATTTTGAAAGTTCGACATTTCTTCTAAATAACAGCTCTATAATAATTACCGACTTTTGCTCATATCCTCAATTTCGGAACGAATTCAGGAACTATTTCCGAATTATTTTTTTCCGTGTACGATTTTAAGGATAACATTCTCATAACATATTTCTGTTTGCTAATGATTGCGAGATTAAGTAGACTTATATAAGAATATTTTTAGTCCTGCTAATTAAAAGTGTGAAATTATTTTTAATTACTAACTTTCTTCGCAGAAACATGGTTTGCTGAATTTTCGTCTATAATAGATTTACATGAAAAAGTAACTTCAATTTTTAGAAAAGTTCTACGGTTAACATTTATTAAAGTGGGACATGTAAACCTTTACACAATTTTCTTTAAAATTTGAAAATAAATAATATTGCGAAGTTTGCATATAAATCTTTAAATAATTTTTAGGAAAGATTCAGCACTGTGTGAGACGAAGCTACAAACTTTTAAATCCGATTACAAGGGATGTGATAGTTCAACCCTTATAATAAAAAAATTTAAAATTATTTTTAACCAATCGGGACCGTCACCATGTCATTTTTACAACCAAACACGACCGTCACCCTTAAACTCCAGCCAAAAAAATAGCAGTTTTTCTAATAAATTATATTATACTATTTTATGTTTATAAATATATTTTTTGGGTGTATTTGGGTGAGATTATGTGAAAATCGTTAAACTTACTTTTATTTATTTGAAAAAATTTTGATATTTAGCATTATTTTGGAATTTTTGAGTTTTTTTTACCATTTAAGAGCCTATAACTCAGAAATTCGACTTCCTAACAAAAAATCTTATAGAGAAAAGTTGTTTGTGTTTTCCTATAAGCTATAATAATATGCAAATAAAAATTTTGAATTTTCAAAATTTTGAAAGTACTGTAGTTTTTGACGAAAACGCCTGACTAACGAACTTAGCCTTCATTTTTACACCAACTTTAAGTGAGTTAAATTTAAAAACGACCCGATAAGTTTTTCAAAAGTTATCATGGGAACAACATTTTGTGTCTACAGACAGACAGACACCATCGCCAAACCATGTTTTTTGGGTTCAGGGGACCCCAAAACGTGAAGATTTCATAAAATTAGCAAAAGTCAAAATTCGCACAAAACTAATACCTTCTCATATGATGAGAATGTAATTAAGACAATACATATTTTAATACACAAAAAAGTTACAAGTCTTTAAAGTTGAAATCTGTACCTATAATAGCCCCAGTTTACGGTAATATTTAAAAATAATTTTTTAAAGTGCAAATAAAATTCTTTTAAGTATAAAATTTATTTTAATGAAATTTGAGCAAATTTCCTATGTTATCAATTTTTTAAAATTACTCACCCAAGTACACGGAGAGAGATTCTGTTTTAATATTTCGTATTATTATATTAGTATTTAGTAAAACCGATTGCAGTTTGGGGAAATCATGTACATTTATGAATTAATATTACCATTTTTAAGAAAGTTTATAATCAAATTATTACTTTGTATTATTCTGAAGTAATAGAAATTGAAATAGTCAATAAGAAGTTGTAATATTATAAGTAAGAAAGTATGCACTAGTAAAAAGTATTACCAGATGATTATACTAAATACTATCGAAGAATTACATAAGTTGTTAATTTAGTTATGAATAGTATTATAGACTATAATAAAAATTATGACCAGCCTAGTAGCAGGCTATGGGCTGACGTCAGGCTGACGTAGAGCGGTTACGAAGCTGTCCGAGATTAGTCGAATATTTCAGTCGAGCAGTTCCGAAATTATCCGAGTCAAACCTCGTGGCAACATGTGCACGTTGTGTTTACCCCAAAATATTTTAATTTGATGTGTCAAAATGTGTCGGAATTGGGTGAACAATTTTATTTTGTGCATTCAATAATTTTAATCGACAATGAAGATTTCCTAATTGTAGTAAAAGGCATAGTCCATTGTCTTTTAAATGAGCATTTGAGAGCATTCAAAATTTACACGGAAAAAAATTAATCTCTAAATTAGAGATTTAATATGAGATTTAGGCATAAACTATCATGCACTGGAATCGGATGTGTGATTTGAACAGATCTCTAAAACTGAAATTTAGAGTTATATCTAATCCGCATATATTATCAGTGTGAAGAATCCGTATTTTTATGCCTGAAAATGATATTAGAAATCTCAAATTTTATGATTTATCACAATTTAGAGTGAGAATTATTCAAAGAATGTATATTTTTCTTTTAGTATGAACTTATAAACAAATCCATTGACAATCATAAAAAATTGGACATTTTTTGAAGATAATATGAATTTTTTATTATTTCATTTCTTTATTTGAATCAAATTATCTCAACATCACACAATATAAACATTCTTTTTCTATTTCTTAATAAAAAAACATGGTTTGGTACAACTTTCAATATAGGTTAGGTTTTCAAGTGTCAAACGAAAGTTTAACCTGAAAATACTAATAAATAAAAATATGTCCCACACGTGATAACGCGAAAAACATTCGTAAAATATGGAAAATGAAAACTGGGAATGAAACTGCATTTAAAATATAAAATTAATACTTAAATAATTAAAATGGTTTAAATATTCTTTGACAATGATGAACTTAAAACGCAATGTAATTCACATCAGATAAGTTGTGAAATTAACAAATCTCTAAATCAGAGATGTGAATTTAATTGTGACTATAATGTCTATTTTAGACATACTTACATTCCATTGGATTTCAAATTAATATTATTTCAAGTTTAGATATTAATTTTTTTCCGTGTACGAAAATGAATTAGGACATTGGAAGGTATTTAAAAAAAATGATTTAAGATATGCTGCATTTTCTTATGCCAATAAATTAAATGATGGGTTTTTTTATATAACGAAAAATTGGATATAATTTCAATAGAAATCATTTTCCAGAAACAAACAATTTTAAAAACAGTATTATGATAAACATTTCTGAATAAAATTGTGACCCAGCATACAAAAGTATGTATTTATAATGTAAAATAAATTAAGAACTTTTTTAAACAAAATATGGAGAAAATATCACTTTCTCACAAGTTCAGAAAATTTCTCGAGTTTAGTATATAAGGAAGTTGAGAACTGTATCTCCCAATGTACAGCGTGCGTGCGTTGTTGCGTTTATTTGTATTTAAGTTAAGCTTATATGTATGCGTTTATAGGTTTTAACATAGATCTCCGAAATTGTATATAGTTTGTGTTTGTATAGTATGATGTATAGTATGATGCTTGCGTTAGCTCATTGGTGTGTGTGCGAAATACTTTCGAAACGATAATTCTATCCTCCTCCTTCCTACGTCTTTTTATTTCCTGTCCTTTTCGACTCACTCATAATTTTTAGTATTGACTATATTAAAGATTGAAATATGTTTTTTATTCTAAAATTTAAAAGAACTATTTCAATTTTTCTTATTCTTTCGATACTTTCACGGACTGCGATTTTAATATAGTCATTTTTAAAAATTATAATTCTTTTATTAAATTGTATTACAATTTTATTAATTTTTGTAAAATATATCAAGGGCTGCCTACTAATATGCACAATATTAATTTTTAATATAAAACACGATTTCCCTAAATTGAAAAAGAATATATTAAATTCTATTGCCAATTTTAACAAATATTAATACAAAATCTCTCTCCGTGTAGCACGCTGTATTACCTGAGTGTTATGGCGATATCTATTGGGGATATTCCTGTGATACTGAGGAAGTATCATAATGTCTGCGATATTGAGGCGGAATATTGCTGTGATATTGAGGGAATATTTCACAGAATTTTTTCTATAAGTCCAAATTTGAACTTATAGCGAAAATTTTGTGAAATATATATTTAAATATTTTTAAAAATTAGAACTGAACTGAAATTATTTTTTAAATCAATTCTTATCAAAAGTTTTAAAATTAAAAGAATAATTCATAGATTTAAGATTTTCAATAATTTGGTATTTTTTACTAAAATTTTCTTATTTTACTGTTCTGTTATTATCAAAACTCTGGGGGAATTAATTTCACTAAAACACTAATATTTACATCTATTTACAAATTAATTGTCAAACTTTTGATATGAAAATTCGAGCTGTTAAACAATTTGGAATCAAAAAGCCTTAACTTCACGTGAGAACAGAATATCTCGATTATTAATATTATGATACAATTTTTGTCTTTCTTTATTCTCCATTGATTTAAAAATAACAATTTTTTTTCACAGTTTATTATTAAAAATTAACCATAATTTGATATTTTTTTTAGAATTCCATTGGCGGCTGGACTCTTTAATCGAGATATTTATTTGGAAGGTATACGAAGACGTGCAGCTGCTTGGGACGATCCACGAGGAACCTCAAAGGTTTGCTCTATCCAGTGATAAAATAACATTCCTGGAATTGTGAAGTATATTTTCTACATTTATTTAATAATCTTCCTGTGCGCTAATCGATGTAATATAGGAGTGCAATATTTCTGGTTAAAATTGTACAAATAATTTATAAGACGATAAGAATTAATATGATAATGATAAAAAAGAAGCTTTAGCGAGAGAAAAAGGTAAAAAAAAGCGCCTTATTTTAACTTAATTTTACTGCCAATATGGATTTTGAAATCTTTTTAAAAACTCGTTTCTTAAAATTAAAAAAAACCAATATCAATATAAAACGCAGAATTTTTTATTCGAAATCTGTGTTAATTTTTTGCTGATTAAAAATAATAGTGTTAATTGTTTTATTAAATTCTTTTGCACGTGCACTTGAAATTTCACCTTAAAAGAATTTTCTGCGTAAGAAATTTTTTTGGAATTTTACATTTTTTTTAGTCTTTAAAAATTATTACGCAAAGAATTATTTTTTATTGTAATAACTATCTATTATTTATTCTATTTTTTATAGACACAATACATTTGTGTGAAAAAGCAATATGAATTTTAATCAAAGACACAAAATTATTAAGTGAATCACGTAAAATAGGTTAAATGATTTTAAATAGGTTCTTAATTAATATTTGGCTCTAAGACCAAAAGGCCTGAAATTTTAATTTGTTTCGAAATTATATTTAAAAAAATTACAATAACAATTTTTGAGTTTTAAAAAACAAAAGGTAATTTATCCATTGAAGATAAAAAAATGGTACATGTGTTCCACATGCAGCACAATTTTGTAATACCTTTTTTTTCATTTACTTTTGTACTTGCTAAACAGTTATAATTAGCTCCTAATGCTGTTTTTCTAATCTATTGCATAAATCTAGTCAAAGATGGAATATTTAACACAACTGTGATGCACTTATGAGTCGTGGAAAAATTTTTTTTCTTAATTAAGTTTATACTTTTAAAAACAGATGTAGTTTTAGTGAACAAAAAAATAAGTTATTGCAAAGTATCTAAACATGACGAGACAGTACAAGTAAAAACAGTATTTATTTATTAATTAGAGGCAAGTGAAAAAAAATTTATAATTTTTAAACTTTAATTTGTAATTATTAATAATTGTAAAAATTAATTCATTTGTAAAAAATTTATATTGATTCTCTTGTTTTCTTAAAAAATTTATAATTCTTTAAATCGAAAAAAATTTTGAATTTGTTTAAATTACAATTAAAATTAATTAAAATGAGAATTGCGATTGAAAGACATTTTTTAAAAATGTCAAATTAATCCAAAGTTAATTGAAAATTATTTTATTTTAAAATATGATTAATTAAAAATAAGTTACAATTTTATAAAAATATTTTGTATTTTTAAAAAGAAATTTAGTTTATGTTTATGGTAATTGTTTTTAATCATTATTTACAGAATAAGAAAAAAAATATTCCTTATTTTTCATTTTGTTTTCTTATCTCTATCATAAACTATTTTTTTAATAATGTGTTTTTCTCTAGTAAATAAATTTATCGCAATGATCTAATATAAGTTGTTGCAGGTTAGAAAATAGTAATTAACAAAGAAAAACTGGTATTCGCATTCCTATTATAACAATTTACAGACAGGTACGATTAAAATCGTCCATGATATTTTTTAAAGGCTTGTGTTTAAAAAAGAAAACTAAAAGAGCAATACAAAAGACATTGTAATAAAAATTTCATTAAAAAGAAAATTATGAAATAATTACTTACGTATTATTTTTTTCTTAAATGAAAAATTGCCCAAAGGAAGTATTTATAAAAAATAAAATAAATACTATATATACATTAGTAAAACATAAGGCGTAAATATTATTTAATGTAATGAATATTCCAAAAGAATTGTAAGTGTCGTCCAATGTGAGATAAATAATTGTTAATCTTTGTGTCAATAAAACGTGACACATAGTTTCTTAAGAACATAAGTAGTGTTTCTTAAAAAAAAGTAGAAAGAAAGTCTGAAAAATGTTTTTGCTTATAAACATTTTATGGACAGAATATTTTTTAAATATAGCTTCCATTGAAACTTTTTTTATGAAAAAGAAAAAAATTTTTCTTAAAATTCATAATGATAATTTTAGTAGTATCTAGAAAGGCCTCTCTTAGAATTTCAAAATTATTCTTAAGAAATTGTGTTTATAGGAAAAAAACGTGATCAAATAAATTAGTAAATAATTACACAGGACCACAAAGGGAAATTGAGGTGGACATGTTCTGAGCATAGGTGACCTTTATGTTTTTGGGGTCGCTGATTACGATGCCGGTGTCCGTATCCCCCATCACGTCAGCATCAAGGTCAATTCAAGGTCAATCACCTCATTTTGCAATATTTAATTTTTTTGACCCCGGATTCGGAAAGAGCGGAAAATTTTACGTTCGAATACGTTTTCACCATTTTTATGAACCAACCTTTCAAGGTCAATTGGAGGTCATCTAGAAGGTCAAATTTTGATTTCATTTTCTTGTCTGGAAAGTTATAGCTAGGAATGGATTTTAAAACAAATTGTTTTTTATGTTCTTGGGATCGCTGATTACGATCCAGGTGTCCATTTGACTCCATTACGTCAGCGTCAAGGTCAAAAACCTTAATTCGAAATATTTAATTTTTCTAACACCGGCAAAAAATGAGCTTCAATTGACCTTTAAAGATTGGTTCATAAAAATGGTCAAAACGTATTTGGACTTAAAATTTACCGCTCTTTCCGACTCCGGGGTCAAAAAAATTAAATATTGCAAAATGAGGTGATTGACCTTGAATTGATCTTGATGCTGACGTGATGGGGTCACCGGCATCATACGGACACCGGCATCGTAATCAGCGACCCCAAAAACATAAAGGTCACCTATGCTCAGAACATGTGCACCTCATTTTCCCTTTGTGATCCTGTGCTATAAATGGGAATTCTTCTGCCTAAAATTAAATATTATATATTGTTCCATTCTTTAATCGACAAAAATAATAATAATACCGATAAAACAAAAAAATTATTATATTTATGTGAAAATAATAATTTACTGGAGAAAAGCTTTAAAAAAGAAAACAAATTTATGTTCCTAAATAATTAATCTCTGTTAATAAAACTGATATTTGTTAAGCTATTTGTTAAGCTGCCTTACTCTCATGCCTTATCTGCATAAATACTGACGTATTGTAAATTACTGAAGTAAAAAGATATTGTCCTAAAAAGTTCTTTATGTGATTTGAAAGTAAAAAGAAATAATTCTAATTAAGTGATTCAAGCAGAATTTTTCCAAGAAACTAAAGTATTTGTAATTATTTTAAAATAACTTATTCTAATTTTAACTAAATCAATAAATTTAATTCTAATTTTTAAATTAATTATAATTGAATTTTAATTTTATCTTTTTATTCTTTATCACAATTTTCAGATAAAATACGTAATAAGCTAATTAATGTAACACTTAATTAGATTTTAAATATTTCCAAAACATTTAAGAACAAATAAAATTCATACTGTGTCTCTTTTAAAAGTTTATCCCCGAATTGAATTAATTTTAAGCAATATTTATTTAATAATATTAATATTTATTACTATTTTTATTATTTAATCGTAATAAATTATAAAATTCGAGCTAAAAGATAACAAAAGTAATGTTTTTTTTTAGTATTCGTTACTAATTGTAAGTGGTTTTATCTAACCGGAAAATAAATAAATAACATTTTAATAATTATTCCCAGTAAAAAAGCAGAATTGGCAGTGAGCTAATAGAATTGGCGGTAAGTTTCTGATAATACGTTTTCGAGTGAAAACCGTATTGGGGGCATTCTGCCAATCCTGTCCTCTGCAACCTTTCGATTTCACGTTTATTGATCGATTCGACTGTGTACTGTTGATCTATAAAGTTGAGTCTCCAATGTGAGAGAAGGTGCGCATCGATGTTCATAGCTATAGATATACCACAGCATACTTTAGTATACCTATAGCTAAGAACATCGATGCGCACCTTGTCTTATTGGAGACTCAACTTTACCGATTAAAGTTGAGTCTCCAATGTGAGAGAGGTGCGTATCGATGTTCATAGCTATAGATATACTACAGCATACTTTAGTATACCTATAGCTATGAACATCGATGCGCACCTCTCTCACATTGGAGACTCAACTTTAGGGAGCTTTCGACGTTGGCGCTGTGAGTATAAGTCACAGCGCTAACCTAAAAAATATCCTAAATCATATGGTAATAGATCAACAGTTTGTCAAATTTCATTTATTTACATTTTAACGAAATTCCATATTTCCAGCTCGTTATCAGCATTTTTACATTTTAAAACAATCAGTCTTTTTGATTAAAATGCCAAATCGAATTAATAAACGTGAAATCGAAAGATTCAAGAGGACAGAATTGACGGTGAGAAAGCAGGATTGTCAGAATGACCCCAATACGGTTTTCACTCGAAAACGTATTGGCAGAAACTCACCGCCAATTCTATTCGCTCATTTCCAATTCTGCCTTTTTTACTGGGTTATTTCAAATGAATATGCGTTACTTAAAGTGGATTCAATTTATGGGTGTAATTTTTCGCAGCAATTGTTATAAAAGACAAATAATATTAAAAAATAACAATTCATAAATATTATTTAAAAAACAAAATCTTTTTTGAAAATACAAAATTTATTTAATCAGTGAAAATTTAAATAGAAAAATTTTCGTTTACTTTGAAAATTCGTCGACATATTTTTTATATAGTTGTTAATATATAAATGAAAACTGTTATGAAAAAAACAATAATTATATAATTAATAACAAAATTTGGATTCTTAATTTGTCAACAATCAACTTTCAGTAACACATTCAACACAGAATATAATTATTTAAATTCAGATATTTCGTTAATAAAAGTGTTAATTACTTTTTTCTTCGAATTTTGCGAAAAGCTTTATAACCATGGGTGCCAATAATATTATTAGCGATTTTTCAGGGAAAACAAATTTTAGAATCGCGTAATAAGAATTTATTGTGCACAAAACTGTAACTATAGTGTATTATTTGTTATCTTGGATACATTCATTACACTGTGATAAGTTACTAAAAATATTGACATGTTAGTATTTAATAAAATGAAAAAAATTTTCAACTCTTAAATGTTCCTGTAATAAAAAAATGACTTTCGTAATGAATTTTACGGTTGTATTTTTCTTGGGAAAGGCAGTGTAGTGATTACTTTATATGTAATACACCATTATTATATACCTAATTATAGAATTTATGTATATTAATTAAAGTAAACCAACAATATTTGAAATTCT